CCCCGATATGAGCAGGGCTAAATTCTAGGCTGTGCGGCTTTTGAACCATGCTAACATACACAGAAAATACCATTAAGCTGAACCGTTCACTTGACTTTTCACAGCTTGGCGCGCTCTGCCACCACCACCACCAGCAGCACCACCAGCAGCACCACCAGCAGCGGCAGCACCACCAATAGTTGACCAACGAAGCGCGCAGGCGCGTAGTACAAATCTTTGGCTTCAACAATTTACTGCGCTGCGACTATGTTAATTAGCAGCAATGTGATTTCTGGCTTGAAGGCCCCCGAGTTGGCTCTAACCATTGTTGCTCCAAGTATGATTAATATGCTATTCTAAGTGTAGCCTCTGCCACGGAGTGAAGTGGGCGCATTAAATTCCGCTAAATGCTATAATAATATGCCTGATGCCCGTTGCTAACTTCTAGATGGCCCAGTAGTTAATTTTCTTTCTGTTTGGCTTTTTTGCCTCGCTGCTGCAACAATGGCGTTAAAATTAAAAACGAAATTTAATTTTATGACCTTAACAAATTTGCAATCAACATAATTTCAAGTCGTAGATGTTATGACTTAAGGGTTTTATGTGCTCTATTTTGGCCATGGTGCGTGGTTCGTATATTAGCTGGCTGTCTCTATCTTTATCTCTCTTTCACACACTCTCACTCTCTCGCTCTCTCTTTCTTGCAGCTCCCCATCGCGCCGAATGTGAATGTCTTTTGACCGGCCCCATGTTCTGCTTGGTTGCCACATAATTTGTGGGAGGCGCAAATTGTCTTGCGTTAATGGTTGAATTTAGTGTAATTAATAATAGGCGGAAGGCACTAAAACTTATTCATTTTAACAGACTTACATTGTATGCTAATCAAGAGATAGATCATACATATATATATCACTGCAATGCGTATCAATAATCTCTATATCTAGAGCATTTTAAAGTTCGTCTTAAGCACATTGTAGAAAACAACATTTAATATTTTACACATTTCAATTATTATTCTCGAAATGTCTCATTTAAAGTTTCGAATTACTATTATTAAAACATTTTATCCCCAAGTAATTCTTGTACATACAAGCATGCTGAAAAGGTAGGGTATGTTTGATTTGCTGTTTAATTTAACGAGCATCTCTAGACTTTAATTACTAGTTTTAGCCCAACTTTCACACGTCGTCTCTTGAGTGCAAATTAAAAGTATTATATATAAATCTTAGCTTTATAAGGCTACACACACTTACACACACACACGCCCAGCTGTGTGTAAATAAGTGTGATCTGTCACATGCAAGGAATTCCATTGTCGCTTTCAAAATCAACAAACTGTAACTAAACTAAAACGCTTGGCACACACTCAAGAGTCCACAAATGTCACAAATACACTCACGAGTACTTGTACTTATATTCGCGATCGTCGCCAGAGTTCACAACAAGATATGTAGATGTGTGTGCGTGTGTGTGAGAAATTGTCGTTGAGTGTGTGACACGCAATATGGCGATCAGAGGCGTTAGTTCTGACTCTGACCCCGTGGCGTTGCTGTGGAGTAGTTGAAGGTGGAAGCGGGGCGTCTGCATGCGCACTCAAATGTATCTACAAGTCAAATATGCATTAAATGTGTCATTTTGTGAGGCAACAACCTACGCGCGGCACGAGCAAAGACGCAACTCGCATGGCCAAGCGATTTGAAAAGCGAGTGGAGCACTCACCAGGCCAACTGACGGACTGACTCTCAGGTCTGTCTGATCGGTTGGCTGGCTGGGCTGAGGTTATATGCCGACATCAGTTTGATGTTCATGTTGTTGTTGTTGTTGTTGTTGCTGCTGTTGCTGATGATGATGAACATGAATCAACAGCCACACAACGGCAACAATGGCAACTCTTCAAGCTTGGACAAACATTTCACGCATCAGGCATTTTATTGTGTAGAAATATATATATATATATATATATATATATGCTACGCGAATAAAAACTAAAAACAATATAAAACCAAAAAAAAAAAAAAAAGGAAACAGCACTGAAAATAGAACAAATTTTTCGCAAATATACGTTTAACAATAGCCCGATCCGTCCGTTGGGCTGGTGTTGAAAGGTAGATGGCCTTTCTTATATCTAGCTGGGTCCAAGGGCTTCTAATTAAGCCAGCAAGCATATGGGCTTGACCACATATTTCAAGTCGCATCGCATTGTATCGGGGAGAACAATACGACGGCAGCGCTAATAAAAACAATTTTGCGTGCAAATATCTAAGATACACTAGCCCAGATGCGCTCTCAACCAAAACATTCGAAGACCCTGGCTGTCCATACAGACACAAACACACACACACATACCTAACTGGTAATCATATGTGAGCTATCTGTGGGTTATTGTATCTGGTCGTTTTGCACAAAGTGATGAGTAAGCGTTAGCTGCGAAAATTGATTCAAGAAAATCAAATAGAAAGAAAAATAACATATCTATCTATATATGAGAGTAGGCACATTGAAAGTGAAGAGCTCAAGCAAAACTATGCCGTATGCCACATAACACCAAAATGTAATGCGTTCCAGAATGCAACAAAGTTGTAAATCACTCGACGTGCTCGCCGGGTGGGATTTGGAGGGGGATGCCTAACTATGGATTATATATATGTATATGTATATCATGGTATATGTGCTCAGAAATCGCTGCCCGATGACGAAACTTCGAAGCATTTTCAACTTTTTTGCGCTTGGCTGACTTTGGTTGTAGGTGTTGTATTTGTTGGATGCCAGTTTAGAGCTCTAGCTCTAGGTGCGGGCAGCGGCAGCTCAAATTAAAACAAACTTTACAAAAGAATACACACAAAAAACACAACAACAACACAACAACAGCAACAGCAGCAGAAAAAGAAACAACCATAAAAATAAATTCAAGTTAGTAGCTGGGCGTTCATGACACTGTTTCTTGGTTCTTCGACTGTTAAATTTGGAAAACCTTTGCAAGGCATAAACTCAATTTTAATGGGCACAATTAATCATAATTTGTTTTACTTTCAATGGTTGTATGATTTTTCAAGACATGTTCAAGTGTCGCTTTTAATTGTAAATGTCGAGTAGCGAACTAGTTAAAATCCGCCAGACGAACACCTGGATGAAATAAATATCAAGACTTCATTTACATAATTGCCTGTGCACTTAAGGACATGGCCCTGAGAGCCAACTCTTGCAGCTAGAGTCAAAGTGTCAACAAGTCATGAGCTGGAGTGCCAGCCAGAGAAATATATATATATATATATATATAGATATATCCAGCAAGTCCAACAGTTTTCACACAATCTGAAAGCTTCACGGATCCATGTACATAAATTCATGTATGCAAATGATCAAAGTGGACCTGAGCGCGGGGCTGCTTAGGGGGCAGCTAAAACATCAATAATATGTAAATGCAGCAAATTAATGACTGACAAAAAGACAATCGAAACGAATTAAGCAAACAACCTACAAAACCAGCAGGAGGCTTACCATACCAGACTTGAACGCCGCACGTTGACAAGCCGACTCACATAATTTGTATGCGGGCAACGGGCAACGGGCAACGCAACGATCTGCCAGATGAACAGAAATAAAAGAGGGTCTCTGCGTCCATATAGAAATTATTGAATCAAATTGAAGACGTTGAGTGGCAGAGACTAAAATAAGCATTTAGGAACGCGCACTCTACACGAATTACGATTAAGTATTAATGTAGATTTTAGCTTGAAGAAACTAACTAACAGCAAAGTTGCACGAGTGCAAGAGAACGTTAGACACAGGTACAAATAGATGCCCGCTAAGTACATCAAAACTTAGCTTAAACCTAAATATATTTTTCATATTCGTAGCATATATCTTGATCTGTTACTTCGCTTGATCTGCAATTGGTTTTGTTGCTGCTTAAGTTTCATTCGCCAGCAGCTCAGCTTAAGGAAGCGTATGCAGTAGTCGTGTAATCCTTTAAATTTATATTAAAAATTATTGTTTTTTTTTTTTTTGTCAAATTGCTTGATTATTTCATTAGCTGTGCACACTTATGGCTGCGTATATGGAAATATAACATTTATGGTCATAATGTGTCAAAGCCATAAATTCAATTAATTTTTTATAATGTCAACAGCAGCGGCAACGGCAGCGACTGAGCCCTATTAGTTTGTGAGAGTAAACTAACAGTAACTCGTTGTGGGCAGCGTTTTGAATATTAATAAGTTTATGTGGCGCACGCTACATCATGTTAACACGGGCTCAGCAGATGCTGCTGCAGCTACAGATACAGCTACAGATACAGATACAGCTACAGCTACAGATACAATGCATTAATGATGCGTCGCTGTCGCTACAATTTGTACGGCGACGCATTTAATAAATGTATCTCAAGCTGTGCTGAGGGATTTCGCCGTTTCGTTTCGAATGTTGCCTTATATGTAAACAATTTAAATAGATATTTAGATATGCTGTCGACGTGGACTCCGGCTGCCTACGCTGGCGCCAGTCGCAGCGCCGACAACATTTAGCTATTTGTTTTAAAATTTAATTTCCGTTTCAATTTCAATTTCACATAAATAAATTAAAAGCCAATCCGAAAATACAAATAAAACAGCTCGCACACCACACTCAATGGATTGCATATCGCATTGGCGATTAATAAAGATCTGGATCTGCCCATTGCTGGCCAGACAGATATCGCTGCCATATATAATCGTAATCGTTGTTCGTAATCGTAATCGTGGTCGTAGGTGCCTCGATTGGCTGCTTAGGCAAATTATTGCTAAATTAACATTCCGCCGGATGCACTAAACATATTCCAAACTATCTTACAGATACATAGATACTTGTATCGCCTAAAATTTGATGGGAGGATGTGCCATAAACAACGTTGATGCCTTAATGGCCCGATTCAATTCATGAGCAATAGCAAACATCACTTGTCATTGATTTAACACTAATTATACGATTAATCTGATGCCTATTTATGGATATATCCAATTTGTATATGGATAACATTCGCTTACCGCTGTGTGGCATGGCAGGCGTTGGGTGGAAGCTCTTATCACTGCTCGCTGTTGTTGTGGCATAATCCATGGACAGGCGGCTCGCAATGCTGTTGTTTGAGACCGGCGTGGTGGCCGGTGTTGTTGGTGGGTAATTGGCTACCTGGTGGTCTGATCCACAGACCGAGGCGGTGGTGGCCGATTCAAAGGAATTCCCATGCACAATATCCTCATTTGGTTTTTCACAATCTGCGTAAAGGAAATTCAATTAGTTAAACAATATTTTCGTTACATTATTATGATAGACCCAAACTAAAAGCTTTTTAGGTTTTTAAACTCAATAAATTATTACAAAAAAAAAATTGTTACACTTGCCGCTGATTTAACGGGGCATTTGTTGTTGCACGAGGCGAAGACCTCAGCCAAATCTAATTCCGAACCGGACTCGGACCGGACAGGAAGCAACAGGCAATGGCATAAGGAACCCGTTCGCTACCAACTAAACAATCAGCCCCCCGCTACCCTACGGGCAAATTTTGTCCTTGATTTCGTTATCCCGTTTCGCCCGACTGGCCCGAAGACTTCCGTCAACTCAACTCGCCAATTTGGCGTTCTACTTTATGGCCAGGTAAACTTAGTTTGGCGCCTAAGGGTTTTTATTAGGTTAAAAAGCATGATGGAAATCCACGCTATAGAAAAAAAGGCCAACACTTGCAATTCAAGTGATTTGATGGAATGTTGAACAAAAAACATAATAGACAATGCTCTAAATTACATAAAACAAATATCATATTTGTGAAATTAATGGAACCATTTACGTATTGCTGATTTAAGGGTTGAACCAGAGGGGATTAAATATTGATTCCTATTAAATGCTGGAAATTCTCTGGATTCATTTCATCCAACTAGTCTATTGATAATCCAATTATTGACGGTCCTATACAAGGTACATCTCTTGCTTTAAGATTTTATAATTTTTTATAAAAATTCAATAGATTTGACAGACTATGAGGGCAGTATTTAGTTTTGTAGTTTACAGCTGGCTGGTTGACAGACTGACAGATTGACTCATTAATTGACTGGCGCCAACTGCTGCTGTTTGATGCCAGTCACGTGCTCACCTTTTTGTAGTATATCCAAGTGCTCCCAGAGAATGTCGCCCGTGAATGCCGGGGTTATGGCCAGAAATTTCTCTTTGCCCAGCTCGACCATTTCACGGCCGGTCATTTTACAGAATGGCCCCAGGTCCATGGAGAGCAAGGAGAACTCATTTTTGGCCCAGTTCAGCCAGTAGATGACATGCTCCTCCGTCCATTCGCGGGGATCTGCAAGGAATAAATAGTTTTCAAATGGCATACGTAATTGAATTAATTACTTTTTCAAATGCCGCATTCATTGGTTGCCTAATTAATTATTATTATTCGTATTCTTATTGTTGCTAGTTGTTGTTGTGCGTGGGAGCGCTGTAAACCAAATTTCATTTCTAAGTCTATTGCTGTGGGAAACGATTAATATTCATTTATGATCACGTCTTTGTATGGGACTGTTTGTAAATTATTATTTTATTGGCGTTGCCAATGCAAGCAATTGAAATTTAGACAAGTGCATGGGAATTGAATTGTGTTTTCGATTCGGGAAAGTTTCTTAGCTTATGTTTGGAGCTTATTTTAGAATCTTACCTTTGGTTATATTACAGTTTTGCACCTCCTTTTCCCAGGAGGCAAATGAGGCTTTCAGAACCTCATTCACCTTCCGGTTGGTGCCGGGCGTGAGGGGCGGCAATGTTGTAGGCACATCTGCAATAGATTTAAAAGAAAATAAATTAATTACGCAAAGTTCTTGTATATTTAAAAGTACTTTAAGCTATTTTAAAGTTAATGCTCTTGCTCAACATAATTATCTGCCTAATTACCTCGTAGTCTGCCATTGCTCGTGTGCAATTGCTGCAACTTGTGGGCTTTTAAATGAAATTTACTGGTTAGGCATTGATAATTATTGCTCAGAAATGTTTGGTGATTGTTGTTGTAGTTGCTTTGATTGCTGTTTATGTTGCTGTTGTTGTTGTTGTTGTTGTAGTTCGCTGAGCGCAGTGGCGGCAACATGCGACAATCATTCCAATCGATCCATTCATTTGTCATAATTTTGCAGTTACAACTCTATGTGTATCTAAGCTGTCCAATGAATATGTTGTTATGGGTTAAGTATTGTTGTGCTCTTGTATGTCAAAAGTCAAACCAATTTAAGATCATTCGTATCATTCACAAGCATTCACGAAGGGTGGGCAGACAACGATCGTTGGATTCAATTGCTTTCAATTTATTGGCGTTAAAATCAAAGCATCAACAAATTTGACCCGAAATGTCAGTGAAAGTCGCGACCCTTTCGTTAACGACGCCGCCCTATGATCTTGTAGATACAAATGTATCTAGTGATTGGGCTGCGCAGATACTTCACTTGGGGTGCTAGATGTTTGCTTGGTTTGCCTTTTGTTGCTTTTGTTGCAGCGCACATTCATTTAAATTGATGGCATTTAATGCTAATTAGTCATCACAGCACTAATATTAACTTGTAAAATGTGGTTATTGCCTTGGCAAAAAGTGTTAGGCTTATCAGTTGGGCTCTTTTTTTTTTTTAGATAGACGACACACACTCTCATTTACATACGCGCACAGAGCGATAAGATTTATTTAAATTTATTTAAGTTAAATTCACGTTGCACAATGCACAAAAATAAAACAAAACTGAAATAAATTTTGTAACTGGTCGGTTCTCTGTGTATCTATTGGATTGCTGGATTTGTGAAGCCAAACTGAAACGAAACGATCGCCTCGTCCGTTGGGTATCCTAAACAACGAGAAGAAACGAGCCAGAGAGACACAAACACACGCGCAGAGAGTGAGAGAGCGGGAGCGAGCGGCGCGTGCAACAAGTGGAATTGAAATATGTACTCGCTATCACAAATCTCAGAGCAGGGCGAAACGAAATGGAATTCATTCACAAACGAAACTGCCTGAGCGTAATAAGTGGGAGAGCGTGTGCTTGTGTGTATGTGTGTGTGTGCGTGCGTGCGAGCGTGTGTGTGTGCGTGTGGAACGGAAACGGCCATCACATCGTGCCGACAACAACAAAAGAAACAACAGAAGAGCAACGGCTACACCTAGTAAAACAACACAACAACAAGCTGTTTGTATAGCACTGAGAAAAAAACGCAAATGAAAGCCAAAGCAAATAACAAACAAAAACAGGCAAGCGGCAAAGGCTGGCAACAGGTGACACTGCGTACAGGGTGTAACAGGTGCACAAAAGTCAAACCGCGGGCGTGTGCAAAGCTCAAAAGTTTTAGCCATCCATCGCTCACTCTCTCTTTATCTATCTCTCTTCCTTTCTGTGGCGAAACAGAACTTTGGCTTAATGGCCATCAAGATCAGGTGACCAACAGCTACAAAATAGCTGTTACAATCTATTTACACACACATACATAAGCATATGTGTGCATATATGCAACTCACATATGGCAAACCTACTCAAGTTTCCTCACACACACATTCCGGCTCCTGGTGCAGGCAAGCAGCAACAACAACAGCAACAGCAAAGACAACGAATTTATGAATGAATTTCTCATGTTGCCTTCCACGCGCATTCTCGCTCAAAAAACTCCAGCAACAGACAATGAGACAACAACAAGAAGTTGTAGCAGAGAAGAAGAAGCGACGTCGGCTCGTTTTCTTTGCGTCAAAAATATATACAAGAAGAATAACAACAACAGCGACGGCGGCAGCAGCAGCAGCACCAGCAGAAACAACAATGATCGACGTCGGCGTCGCCGCTTCCGCTGCTTCCGTTTGCTTTGCCTCCTATTCGTATCGCTATCGAACGCAGGCCCGTGGTAAATAATGCATGTGAATGTGATAAAGCAAAACGGCTAAGAGAACCAAAACGAAGACCGAGACGAAGACGGGGACGGCGACGGCGACGGCGACGTAAACGTAGACGGCAGCGACTCGCACAATTTATAAGTACTATATATACTATGTGCGAGTGCACGAGTATATAGAGAGGAAAGAGAAGGAAAACAACGGCCATAAGATAGAGCTATTATGACAAAGCGACCAGGTAAATTTATGAATGAAACAAACGCCTGATGCGGCGTCGAGTTTTGAGTCTATGAATGAATTGAAATTACGTGCGGCGTCGCGGCGGGCAGCGGCGCTGAGATCATTTGGTCATTATCACAAAACCGCATATAATTGGCGACAAACGCAAAGGGAAAACCCCACCGTGGCACTCAAAAAAAAAAAAACATGTATATACATGTAAATATATGTAGTTATAAAACTAAGCATGAGTGTATCTGCAAGATGGGACAATGGGCCTTCAAGGTGGGCGCATCTGCGTGTTGAGCAAATTGCTTATCACACACAGATACAAACGCACTTAGCCACACATATTTGACATTGCCCATGTTTATGTATGTCTTATGTCTTATGACTAGTTGGCCAAAAGGGAAAAGCTCTTTAAAACGCAGTAGTTACAACTTTAAATTACAAAACGTCTGTGCGTGTCTGAAATTCATTATAACCTGGCTGACTTGATGGAGTTCCATAGCCGGGCCACACACACCACTTGGGTGTTAATGCCCCGTCTAGGCTACATTCCTGGCCGATACTTGTAAGAGCTACACTTGCATGCGATCTGGGATGCGGTTGGTAATCACACATACATATCTATATTTATGAGGTGTTCATTGTTCGCTCTTCACGCCAAACTAGGTCAATCAAGTTGTTCCAAGCTGCACGATCAATGAAAGTGTGCCGAGCTAGTCTCTACTCGCAATACTTTGAAAAGCGAGTTTAAAGTGCTAAGAAAAGTCTAAATACTAGGCCTTCGATTTGCAAAGCTTAACATAGTCTTCAAAATGAGTATGAAATCTAATTTGTAAGGCATTTTTCGGAAAATCAAAAGAGATGTATTTCTCAATGCGTGAAATTCAAGTACAACAGCTTTGCACATCTTTGTATGCATGTGTGTAGCAATTGAACATGTATTAGTGCGCGCGTGCCATAAAAGCTCAGCATTCACTGCATTTCCTGCCTAAGCTAAGCTTTAAGCTTACATGGCACGTCCATGTGCATTGTATGTGTGCATGGAAATGAAATATGAATGAAACTAAAATCTCAATCCCAATCACTGGACCAGTTGGGTGTACATTATAAACGTCACGTAGTCCATAGAACTTCCCGTTATGGAACTTTCTTTATGCAAATGCATCTGAGCCTGCAAATAAACTTGCAAATCATTCACTTCTGAATGAGTCAATTGAGCATTTGACTTTTAATCTGTAGTTGCTATTTTGTGTAAATAATGCGCAATTTATGCCTATGAGGCTTATCAAATTTCCAAGAAAACGCACAGCGTCGAAATGGCCATCAAGGAAATGGAGTATTCGCAAAATTTTATTAGTGCAGGTTATTTTTGTACGGCCAGCATGCGATTGCTTATCAAAGGAATGATAAGGCCAAGAGACTCGGCATGCTATGGGCCCAATTATGAACTCATTTCCAAAACAAAGTTGTGATTAGGCCATAGACGCGACACGACTCCAACATAATATGCGATTCAGTTGTTAAATGGTGAAGAGCTATCGATACATCTTCTGTGTATTCGATATGATAAATAAATGTGCATAAACATATGTATGTGGAAACAATTTACTCGTGTTTATTTTGGCACGCGTGTGAACAAGTTAACTTCCGGTTGTATAAACGGCAATGTGATCGTTATCTAACATAACGGAAGATTGGCAATTCATTTAAGGTCCACTTTATAGTGATTGGCAATTTCTCAGAATTTGAACACAGCAATCAACCTAAATTGAAGATGTTTGAGCACATTGCAAATTTCGAAAATTTAAATAAATAAGCCAAATGAGGGAGAAAATCCCCAAAAAATAAAACCGGAAGTTATGAATTCCCAGCTGTTAACAAAGCATGTGAAAGTTTATTTAATTATGAGTCAATATTGAATCGAACACCTTCTGAGAAGTAGCACAAGGCGGTTCTCTTTAGCAGGCGTTAACATTGTAATGAACCTTATGGAGCACAGATCAGTATAAAACAGGCCCAAAACAAACTAAAAGAAAGTAATGAAAGCATGTTGAGATACTTTTGTACTTTGCTTAAATTTCCGCAAGTCCCTCAACTCGATTAGAACATTTTCTCGCACATCTTTAATTGTGACCAGCCGACAGGTCGGAGGACATGCAACTAACTACACGCAATTTTGCCCCAGCAATGGAAATTAGCAACGGCAAATGGCAGCCAAAGGCGAACAACCAAACAACCAACCACAAAGCAACGCAACGAAATGCCAGGCCAAGCCGACAACATTATTAAGTATTTGCTATTGACTTCCGGTCGTTAGATATTTCATTACCAACATCGAGTTGGAGCTGGAGTCGTAGTTGGGTTTTCTGTTTGCACAGCAACCAAAGTCAAAGAGCTCAATTCTATTAAATTGAAGTTGCAGTCAGATATGTTTCCAGTCAGAGAGTAGTTCGGCAAAAAGAATTCTATTATTTAAATATGCTACGATTACAAGCTGCATTTTGGTGTTAGATCTGATGGAAATCTGTTGCTCTTAACTCAATTTGTTGCGGCAAGGTTTCAGCACCCTCTGCCCACAGTTTAAATAATTTACTTCTTTTTGTCTTCCATGTCCTTTGATATCCACTCAGCTAGCCTCGGGCTGTACAAGGCATCTTTAGACATTTTTCAACTAATTTGATTCAATTCCGATTGAAGTTGATGACAACAGCGCTCAGCAAAACAAGTTGAAGTATGGTTGATTGCTGACACTCAAAGAAAGCTTAAACCGTAAATTCCGTCAATTATGGGGCGACAAATAAAAGTTCATGTTAATATAAATCTAAATACGAAATCGAACAGAGGCAAAATGTGACAAGTTCTTAGAAAAGCTGTGAACAGAAAATTAAATACTTAGAAACACACAAAACTAACGAACACACTTTTTACCATTTACTATGTAAATGATAATCATATTGCAGTTCTCCAAGTCTTACATTAAAAATTCAATTATAAGAATTAATAAATCACAAATTAAATTAATGAATAGAAAGTAA